CACACACACACACACACACACACACACACACACAAGCACACACATACACGCGCGCGCATCTCCAAAAAAGAACGACTACAAGATCTATATCCTAGATTTCAACGCTGGCGACAGACGATTTCTTAAACCATCTACTGGTCAAATTTTTGGTTTGGTTTTAAGAGTTGTTTTAGAATTAATGTGTATTGCACCGCTTCTGGGGTGTCCAAGAAGACGTTGAAATAGAATGAATTAAAAAAAACAAACAACAACAACAACAACAAACAAGTAAAAAAGAAATGGCGTTTTTTTAGATAGCACGTTATGAACGCTCAATGTTGATCAACGGAATGACACCTATCCCGACAGGATCATCAAGGGTTAGGTTAGTTAAGAGCCAATAATAATTTATTATTCCCCAAAATATTTTCTTCAATCAATGTGCTATTTTGTCTATATCCGCCAGTGTTATCGTTCACACACTGAAAAACGTTAACATGAAGCTATAAAGCCGTGTCTTATAGATTGATAAACAGCCAATCTAAATTCCTTTCAGGTAAAAGATTTGGGTTCTATTCACAATTAATTAGTGGCGAAGATATTTTAGGCCCAATGGAGTAGGCTACTGTTTTTCTGGCGATAATTATGTTGAATAACGCACAGATCGGCGGGTTGGCCTTGACATGTAAGATTTAAGCAGCCCTCCTCCCATATGTGATTTGAATTGTGTCAAAAGGGACATAAAGTACTAGAAATCAGAGTGAAACACCAACCCATAAGCAGAGTACCAAGATCGATAGATCTATGGACGACAAAGTAAATAATTTATACACTTGAATGTTTCCTGACAAGGCTTGGCAGATACGGTAACGGAAGTTTGATAAGGCGCCACCGTTTTTTGCTCTTTTTTTTGGCATGGGTGGAGGGGAAAGGACACACCTTGGTACGTAGCCAGCAAGTGCAAAAATATGAGGTCAAGGAACAACATATTATATATATATATATATATATACCTTCTAATGTGCCCACGATTTCGTGTTCTGCCATTTGTTTTTCGGGCAGTAAATCCCCTATCTACTTCACCTTTTTAACCACCAGTCACCAGTCTCTTTTTCAGAGACAAAACAAAGCATGAGTTTATATACTTAAAATACGCCCGAACACACACACACACACACACACACACACACACACACACACACACACACACACACACACACACACACACACA